GGCCATGTGATCTTGAGTATTGAGCGAAGACATCTGTTAATGAATGTCTGTAGCTTGTTTGAGGTGTTCTTTGTGACACGCCAAGTCTCTGATCCGTATAGTAGCCCTGACTGACTTCACATTGGAGTTGAAAATCCGGATCTTATTTTTGACGCTGAATGTTGTTGACCTCCACACAGACTTGAGAGTAATGAAAGCTTGCCTTGCTTTCCTGATCCTTGCTTTGATATCCTCGTCAGTTCCGCCTCAGATTAAGCCCCAACCACCGACAGGCAGCTTGGATACAAACACGATAATACCACAAAACATGTCTAATGTTAGTGGTAAAGTATCGATGGACACTAAGGCACAAAGCGACAACTGCATGGTGCTAGATGAACAAACGACATGTGAAAGTGAAGTAAAACCTGCTGGGAGTAGTAACACTAGGGGAATCTCAAATTTAACGAGAGCATTCCTAGGAAATCTGCCAACACCACGCATGGAGCAGACATAGACGCTCCCACCACGGAAAACCTGCAAATATCGCCAGATCACACTAGGCCCAGAGCCAAGCCAGATAGTTTCGCAGTAGAAACCAGAAGGAATCACTCAGATGTGGAACAAACTACCAGTGGAAATGCGGCTAGCAAGCACTCTGACCTCATTTGAAAAGATACTTAATGACACGTTAGAAGAATCTGCAAGCGATAATAGTGTCAATTCCCACATGGGAGCTTCAAAAATCATAGGCTCATTTGACGTATCAGCTTAGAGACTGCACGTGTTGTTTGTTTCGCTCCTATTTATAATTTCAGATAATAAGCAGTATTCAACACAAAAGCCCTCAAACAAATAAGAGTCGTTCGTATAATGTCTACCTGATACACTGAGTGGAACGAAACAGACACGAATGAAATATAGGGAAACGAGGAAAAAGCTTACCACAATATCACACGCGAAGATATGCGTTTTCAGACACTATTTATACTTCACCAACAAGTCTAATCTCCTAAAGAATGCAGTGACGTTTAATTCATTGTGACGAGGAGTTATATAAATCCACAATTTCTGTTGGTACAGATCAAGTTCTTAAACCTACTGAATATTCAGTATATAATCAATTGTGGTAGAAGTCATAGGAATAGTGCATCTAAAGCACACGTATGTCTTCCATGACCACAGCGATACTTTGCAGGATATATTTAGATTGAAAAGTAATCAGAACCCATACGAAGTGGAATTAACTAAATCCGCACGGCGAACAAGCTTCGGTCACATCTGGATATTCATTCAAATGTTCGTCATGCTGAAAAATCTAAATCACTACCTATACAGTTCCAATAAACCTGGATATCTAAGAGATAAGGAAAATATGACGACAGTTGTGTTTCAAATTTCACTGAGTCATTCGATGGTAATATTCGGCTCCAGCATGCTTCGTCTGTCATTCTGTTTGGATTAGTTTGTAGTTATTCTGGTTCCTAACCGCGTATTAACTAAAAATTCACGTGCTGCTGATTACTGTTGATTTAATAGTACGTCTTTACACTTTTGATCGGACAGTAACTGCTGTGGTCAGCCATTTACAGATGATACTGCTAAAAGCATTGTTGTCGGTAAACCAACCAACGTTTTACATGCCAATTTTATACTTTTGTGAATAGCCTAACGTATCTACCACAAGTAACGCTGCCTTCAGTTGTTACGCGCATTCTCGCTAGATTCAAACAACAATGATGCCTAGGATCATGACATGTATAGTGTTTTCGCCTATGTAAAGTGGGTTTACTGGTATCATTACATTGTGGTGAAAGCTGTCTACTAGCCGAAATTGGTAGATAGTAATTTACGTCAATGTTTACGTCCTCAAATTGGTCGTGAGAAAATATGACAAAGACTGATTCAACAACCAACCATAGCAGAATTTGCGTAGGCTGATGATGATCTGACATTCAGGAAACAGTCACAAAGAGATGAAAGATTAACTTTGAGTGGAAACAACCAATCAGAAGACTGTGTCTGTCTACTAACAATAATATGTAGTAATGTACATGAAAATCTATAAATATGTGTTGATTTCCTTAATAAACGATCTGTTGCCTGGCCCTTGTCTTCTGTTGTTACACCATTACCTCTTTATTTATATACCTTTTGTAACTGAATGATTGTACATATGCTTACTCAATGTGCATAATATTTATCATATTGCAGATGTCTGTGAGAGAATATTTTCGAATGACAGGTGCGGAAATTCAAAGTCCCCTTCCCAATGGAGCTAGTGCTGAAGAAATTTGGAATGTTTGCATTCTTATAATACATATATATGCTGGTCATGGTGATGAGCAGCTGAAAACCAATACAAAGTGTTGTGAAGAGTGTCCAATATTTGACGGCTAGGCGGTTCTTAATCTGTTGTTAAATGTTATTACACATTCCTATGCAGTCAATGATAATAGAGCTCTCGAACAAAGGGGGTTTCTATGTATCTCTACCATTGCTTACGGAAGCACTTTTTCAAGCAAACACATGTCAGTGTCACTTCACATCGCAAAATATAGGCTTGTATTAAAATTGTGAAACAAAGTTAGGCTGAGATGAAAACCTTTTGTCGGAAACAATTTCAACCGGCCCTAGAAATTTTCAACTAGGACATATTGAGTGAGGTGTGTTGGTTGGTCACTGAGAGTCAACCATCGTAATACGCCCAGTCCTTGTTTTTTCTGGTGCCTTGACCAAGGTACTGGCAAGACTAACAAGTATGCCTTTTGGAGGATAATCCAAAATCTTTCTTCGTTCATGGGGGTTGTTCTTGCATCCTCCACATCACGGGGTGATATTATGTGTGACAGGGATAACCTGAAGATGGTAGCCATGCGCTTAAGCAGCTCACGAACCTTCAAATTTATCCATGGGCGGCAGTGTTTTTGAACTCTGAGGCAATTATCCATGAAACCATCTGATGCAGCCCCACATTAGCTATTGGATTTGTAATGCATTTCCATGATGAGGCTTCGGAAATGACGACGCTTATCTTGATTCTCCACACCTCTCTGTGGAATCCCTTTTTCCAGTATACTACAGCAGTTGTGGACTTACAGGTAAGAGCAGAATGATGCGTGGAATATGTTACATGAGGCTAGCGTCTCATCTATGAAAGGAAACCAGATCCCAGGTTAAAGAAAAAGTTGTAGTGTGTGGGTTTCCTAAGGTGTTGTATTGGAATCAGTGAAATGAGGGATTCTGCCAGCCTGTGGTCAAAATAACTGTCTGAGAAAGCCGTTGTAGGCCGTTTCAAATTGACTGATGGGCGTTAAAAAAAGCGATTATAAGACAGTAACACTTAGGTGTCCATTAGCTTAGTTTAAATCTGAGACAGTAGTCCATTGTGATACCAGGACTAGGATAAACAGCAACCTTCCTCTTTAATTTCGGTTTGTGGTGTGGTGACTTTCATGATTCACTCTGTGTGTGAGAACTTTTATGCTGTGCAAAGTTAGCTTCACCTCAAGGGAAATTACTTATCCAGCCCTTTTGTAGTATAACAGACCTGTCCTATACGTTGTTTTCTGTAGGTTAACTTCAGTCTCTGTAATCAGGTATTGAAGGTATGAGAACTGTCAAGATTTACGTCCCTCTCAGTTTCCGAGCTTTCCGTGGCCAGCTGAGCAGAAACAGTAGATATTTATGCCTGCTAATGACGTAGGGATTAGCCCATCTGAATTTGGTGTGATTAGACCTAGACCACATTGGAACCTGGATTTAGATTTCGAATCTTTCACTTTGTGGAGGATGGTCGACCTCTCAGGAGGATCACGTTTAACACGATTTGCTTCGGAGAATAGTTATTTTCTTATCTCCCAAGGGAAATGGGCCTTGCGTAGTGGTTTCGCCTAGTCCTTTGCGGGAGGCGATTTTCCGTACCTGTCTTTTATGATGAATACTTACCACATATATGTACTATGAGGAAGGCTTAAACTGCAGCGTCGGCAGTCTATGCCACGCGTCCTGCTTTAAGTCAACGAAACTTGCTACGCCTCTTCCTTTTGGAGGAATAAGCTTGTCAAAGACAAGATCTTATAATGATGATTCGTCATTGTTACTTTTGGATTTGTCTATGAGTCTAACAGTCCATCATGTATATCCGAGAACTGTTCCTTGTTGAAAAGTACTGTTGCAGCAGAGGGACTTCATTGTCACATTAAGCAGTCCGACCAAATCCTGTACGAGGTATTCTGTTGAGTCGCAACAGCCTTTGCACAGCCATAGTGTGAGAAACTTGCAACTAACTTTGTCCAGTGTGGAAGTCAGGTTGATACATATCATGTGAAACCGTCGACTGCTGTTATCACACTGCATACTACCCATTGCTGGGAAAGGGCATATCAGCCTTCCACAGCAGCTATTTTTGGCAAACATCTTCCCGGTAGGACGGAAAGGTGTCACTATTAAAGGATGGCAGCTATGACCCAAAACTGGGAACCAAAAATTTAGAAAAACACGTTTTCTGCCAAACATGACCGCAAAAGCCTATAAAATTGACTAGCAGGAACAGACAAAGTTAAAGTTTACGTACAAGCTTTTGTAGTGCATAACACAACGAAGGCTGGTTCTAAACAAGAGAGTGCAGAAATTCACTCACTCTTCAAAATTCTCACTTAAGTGAAGCGCTAAAACCTGAACTTTCAACTGGAAATATTGAACCGACAAGTTACTAGAACACTATCCGACATGTGCATGTCGGAAGCTAATGCAGCAAAATTTTCACAACTCAAAACGGTAACACGCATATATGTCCACAATATGGTAGTCAGTCATTCTGCATGCAGTGGATATGTTGATAGGAAAGTATCATATCGGCAATACAACCCAAATTCTATTACCGATTATTTTTTCCACACTCCAGGAGACTTCAAAACAACTAAGCAAAATAGGTACACATTATTAGGATAGTGTAAAGCTAAAAAGCAGGTCAAGATCAACCCAGTATTTGGAAACTTGCAACTGGAGAAGTATAGTTAATGACCTTGAAACAACCAATCAAAAGTAGATCTCAAGTTGACGTATGGGTTATGAGTATTATTTCCGAATTAAAGCCTCATCTTCATATAAACTTAGTTCCGCAATTTTATTTTTTAAGTGGCAAACTAACTGTTTTGCTGCGAGTGTTTTCGGATTTCTTCTCTGATTGGCCGTTTCAAGGTCAGTTGACCCGAGTTTATTTTAATTGATCTCCTTATTTTCGCAGAACAATTTACCCAGTTAACAGACAGTTTAACAACAACAAGCACGTCTCAAGAACATTTTGTGTCCATCCAGAGACCTTTTTATTCTTCTGATGATTTATGGTTACTAAATGCCCCCTTCTAACCTGCAAATACATCATATCATTAAATTGCTTAAGCGTATTTTCTCACTCCCAAGAATTAGAATCTCACTACAGAATCCCTTCAGTTTGTCGGTGTGATGCATTCTGACCCAAAAACACAAAATAGGTTTTCTTTCTGCTCTATAGACCACATATGGGCAGATGTAGGAGGGTCGGTTAATCGACTCTTGTCAATTGACTCTCTATATATGTATACATATATATATATTATACTTCTGTAACCACAGGTTTATAAATCTGTGCAGTTGCATAAAGTAAGTTGTTAATTTTTCGTGAACATGGGAAAAGTGAGATACATAGTTGCATTTTTTCCACGTTTGCTTACGTCTTATTGTGTCAGAATTTTCCATATACCAAATATTCGACATTCATCCCTCTCCTGATTGAAGGGAGTTTATACATAGCAAAAGTCAGATTAGCAAACATATCTTTCAGATTTGTCGTCTTCAAGTAAACCAAGATCCGATCAGTAGTTACTTTCCACCACGAATAAGCTCTTGATTCTGACACTCAATAACTTCTACTAGAGACTCATATATGTTATTCGTGACATTTTTATGAGAGTGTCTGTCACCTGTGATGTCGTAAAATATGAGCTATATTATGGTTTTTCATTCCTATGTGCCTGGAGAACGTTTATTATCTATTTTCTGTCACGTTCAGTGCCTTTTTGGCTGTGCTGAACTGTATCATATCTTTGTAAGTGTTTCCATAGTTCATTCGCTATATCTCGAAGGTTTGGTGTTTAGATTTTTGAAGACAGATGACGCCTTAGATTAATTTCCTATTTAATAAACTTTGTCGTGAAACATTTCCTTCTGTTTTTAAAATATGAATCCGTGAAAAGTAGCACTAGATTATGAAAAAATTAACGACACACAAGTAGCTGTATGAATAAACGTATGCTATTTTGTCAAGTTACGCGAAACCAATTTACAGGTCTCTATCAGTGATATTATTTGTATTTTTTCGCTCTTGTGACGTTCGTCTAGATTTTCTTATATGAAGTGTAGTACTCTAGAAAATTTGTCAATGATGACACTTTAAAAACATCCGTCACCTATGTTTACACGCACCGAGAGCTGAAGATTACTGGAAAGCTATTCCTTATGTCGTTTGTTCATTCCTTGCGTTCTGAGTGGGACAGAAGGCTTCAAAAGTTGAAGTTGTAGCAACTATGGTGTTGTTTTTACAGGGTAGGATTGCTGGTGTTATGCTAAACCTCTCCTCGTTCCTTGCTGAATATCGGCTGGGTGAGGTTTAGAAATGTGTTTGCGAGGGATCGAAACCGGAACTACCGCATGACAGATGGCCAATTTACCATTAAACCACCAAACTGAAGGTGACATTCATTACAGTTAAGAAAAATGTTCTATTCATCAGTAGAGATGCAGCTTAGTGTATGTTTGACGTTATAAAGGGTTCATTTCTTATTTAGATGTGATTTTTTGCCTAAACTTCTCTTATTTTCGCCATATGTTCAAATGTTTATTTCTTTTCAGATGTTCTACATTCTTCGTACTACTTATAAAGTAGGGTTTTCGTTGAGGAATGTGAGTATAAGAAGCATAAGCGGGGTTGCAAACACGCTAGATGTCAGAAAGAAAGTCAAAGAAGCCCGAGCAAAGCTTCTTCTTGGAGGTGGGGAGAAACGCCTAGAAGCCCAACATAAGCGTGGAAAACTGACAGCTCGTGAACGTATAGAACTGTTGGCAGATGCTGGAACCTTTATTGAGTATGATGCCTTTATGGAGCATGATTGCCATGAATTTAATATGGATAAACAAAAAATCCCCTGCGATAGTGTTGTGACTGGTCGTTGTCAAGTCAATGGACGTACGATTTATTTGTTCAGGTGAGTCAAATTCAGTTGTTTTTGCATATCTAGCATATTGGAAAATTAATTATGAGGTTGTCTTATTGGATTAATTTTGCCGGAATCACAAATAAATATCATTTCCACTCAGTACGCAGTTTTAAATTGTGTAATGTACTTTCCATGTTTACATAGCTAAAGCCAGTAAACGCGTCAGTTTTCTTAGCCAGTAAAATTTTGTTGGAGATCACTAGTCAATTTAAGTCTAACCCGGCATAATAATTTTAAGCAGGTAACTGTTGTATTATATTCTTTCATTTAAATGCTTTTCGTGCTTTTAGGTCACTTTATCACTCTTAGTAGTGTGATGTTGCTTGTGAAGCGTTCGTGTTGCCGTCATCTAATTTCAGAAATCCTACCACCTCTAAACATGTCAATTGAGTTTGTAGAGCCGTTCATATCCAATGGAACCAACCACCTTATTAATTAATTAAAGCATTCTCAGGCCATAAAGGCTTCATCATAGGAAACAGTTTCCATTCGTATTGTTATCTAATAGCTATGTACGATAAATTACCTGTGTTTTAAAAAAAATTATTGTTATTTATATAGGTTCCGAGTGGAACATAGGGCTTCAACAACACATCCATTTCATCCAGTTCACTACAGTCCTGTTTATCTGGCTTCACGATTGCACATATATGTGTGTTCATCTCCCCTTCAAACGATTTCCATATCACTCTCAGATCCCTATCCTACTTGTTGTTGCCTATTCGGGTTCCACTCTGGGATCTTTTGGGTGATGTTACTCTATGGTCTCCTCAGCATGTGTTCCATCCAACTCCATTTGCTTCAGCAGCTCAAGTCGCCACTCTCTATGTAGCTCACAAAGCAAGAGAAGAAAGTAGAAGAAATGCATAATAGAGATAGTAGACAGGGATATGAGACAAAAGAATAGTAATAACGAAGAACAATATAGTTTCATTGGGAATTATAAGTCACAAGGAGTGGATGCATCTGCGTCAGCCATTGATAACGATCACTTTGAGCCATATCACCGATTGTTTCCAGCCATTGGTTTTTACCGTCCCGAGGACTCCAACCAAGAAGTCTGCACCTTCCTACGTGGCTCGAACTAACTGTTGTGGATTTCATTGACTGATGAAGCCATGTTTTAGTTTGACCACCACTGGCTCTTTTCCAACCTGATCCACTCTATGTCAGCTAACATTCCCCGTAGTCGAGGAAGGCGATGGCTAGGCTTAGCATGCGTAACACATGTCCTAACCATCTCAGTCGATGCAGCTTCACAGCCTTGTCGATTGACTTCCTCTCCTTACCTAGCACTCGACGCTTAACCTCTATATTGCTCACCCTATTATACCACTTCACACGGGAGATAGAACGCAGGCATCTATGGTCAAAGACAGCTAGCTTTTTCATGTCTTCCACTCTCAATGGTCAGGTCTCACAGCCATACAGGAGGACGGAGAGTACTGCTGAGCAGTACACCCGCCCTTTGGTCGATAACCGGATATCACGTCTCCACCAGAGACGGCGTAAACTGGCATATGCGAACCGAGCTTTCTGTATCCGTGCTGAGATTTCGTCAGCGATCAGCCCGTTGGGGCTAATGCAACTTCCCAAATAAGTGAAGCGGTCAACGTGCTCTACGACTTCACTGCCTATTTCTAAGCTAGGAGTCAGTGTAGTCCAATGCAGTCCTGTAACATCATCTTACATTTTACGGGAGTGAATCGCATGCCAAACATTCGTAGATTGCTGCTCAAGGTGTTCAGAAGACTCTGCATTTTGTCAGCGTCTTCACCTAGAAGAACTATGTCATCTGCATATTCTAAGTCAACGAGATTATTCCCTGGTAGCAAGTCAATCCCTGAGTCTCTGAAGTCAGTTAAGGTTAAGTCCATTAGTACATCTATGATAAAATTGAATAGAAATGGGGATAGTGGGCATCCCTGACGGACACCACTAGTTGTCACCACTTCAGATGACAACTCGCCGTAAGCCCTCACCTGGCTGCATGAGTTCGAGTAGAGTGCCTTGATCAGTGCAATGTATTTCTTCGGCATTCCCTTTACAGCTAAGCATCACCAGAGTACCTCTCGGTCGACAGAATCGAATGCCGCCTTTAGGTCAAGAAACATGACGATTATTGGACGCCGGTAAGTATGCCTATGTTCCAGAATCTGTCGAAGGGTGAAGATATGATCAGTACACCCTCTTCCTGGTCTGAAGCCTGCCTGGTTCTCTCGTGTTTGTTCCTCCCGAGCACCACTTAGTCTACGCATTATTATTGAGCCTAGAACTTTAGATACCATATTAGTCAAGCTAATCTCCCTGTGATTATCACAAGAAGACTTGTCTCCCTTCTTGTATATGGGAATAATCAGTGACTTACACCAACCCGACGGGATTTCCTCTGATTCCCAGACGCTGCCTAGTACCTTAGTTAACGCAGACAGTAAACTGTCTCCATCGTAATTAAATACCTCTGGAGTCATTCCATCGGGTCCTGCTGCTTTGCCTCGTTTCAGACTAGTGACAGCCTTAGTAACCTCAGTTAGGGACGGAGGACCTGTGTCTATATCCCGTTTAGGGAAGTGTTGGATGTTTGGAAGTTGAGCGTGGCTGTAGGCCAATTAAACTGCTCCTCAAATATGTGTCTAACAAGTGAATCAGCTTTATGAATGTCAGGTTTTTATAATTCTGTATTCATCTGTATTTATTTATTCAGTTTATTGCCTACACTTATCGCTTTATATATGGTCACTACGAATTGCATTTTTATTTCTGTTATTTTATCTATACTGTCGTCTTTAGAATGCCTAATCTAATTCCTGGGTGATAATTCACAGATATTGATTTTTATAAAGCGTAGAGATGTTTACTCACTTCTTTAAAAAAAAATAGTATTACTGAAGATTCACCTTTGTGTTTAATGTTTCAGTCAAGATTTCACTGTATTCGGTGGTAGCCTGAGTCTTGTTCATGCTAAAAAAATATGCAAAATAATGGATCAAGCAATGTTAGTCGGTGCTCCAGTTGTTGGTTTGAACGACTCAGGTGGTGCACGTATTCAAGAGGGTGTTGCCTCTTTAGCCGGTTATGCTGATATTTTCCAACGCAATGTGAATGCTTCAGGTGTAATTCCACAAATATCTGTTATCCTGGGTCCATGTGCTGGTGGCGCTGTATACTCACCTGCACTGACTGACTTCATTTTTATGGTACATGATACATCCTACCTTTTTATCACTGGACCAGATGTTGTGAAGTCTGTTACCAATGAGGATGTTACGCAGGTAAGCGAATTTTTATTATAGTCTTTAATACTGACTTGCTATTAGAGTAATTTTCTGCTGTATATTGTCACTAGATTCTACGTTTTTCATTGCTTTGCGTTTAGTGTTGAACAGAGAACTTCAAGCTTGAGCGGTGATGTTGTTCTTACAGGGTAGGAATCCTAGCCTCACGCCCAACCATCCCTCTTTACTAGTCTTGCTGCTGTCTAAGTGAGGTTTGGCAGGGCATCGGCCAGGAATCAAACACGCAACACGTACCGCTGAACAATCGATTCTATGTTTAAATATCAATACTTGTAATTCACATTTAAAGTGAAATACAGTATGCGTCACAGCCGTTGCTGCACTCCAGTGTTTATGATGCTCTTTGTTTGCTTAGACATGAGCTTGAACTGTTTCCTTACTCAAGTATCAAGCTAATGTCTAGTGGTTTCGATGATTCACATCAAGCATTTTAGACTTAATCCCTTCACTTATAATACTCCATGTTTGTTATTTTAATATTCGGTCTCAATGAAGTTTTGAGTGTTCAGTGATACCGTTTTTCTTTACTATATCGATGGCCTAAAGTGTACATTCGCCATTCAGAAATAGATATACTGACTAGGTTGTGTGATATCAACAGTGTTTTATTGAATGTTAAGTTTACTGTAGATCGTAGTAATGATACTGTAAGTGAGGTTGCATAGGCTGTCTCTAATCTGAAACCAGGCAAAATGATGAGACCTGGTAGAATGACTTTAGATGTGTTCAAGAACAGTGGTGATGAACTGTTGTCTGGGTTAACTAAGATATTACGTAGTAGCTGAGGATCTGAGACATTCCCTTTATCATGAGCTGACATCAGTTAGAGAACCACTGGAAAACCACCAGGGAGTACTGGACAGCTGTTTCGTCCTAGTTTGGGACTCTTCAGCAGTACACGTCTTCACCTAATAGGATTATGTCATCTTCATATTCTAAATCGACAAGATTATACCATGATAACAAGTCAATCTTTAGGCCAGTAAATTCAGTTGGAATCATATCTGTTATTACATGTGTGAAGAACAGAGATGAAAAACAGAGACGTCGGGCATCACTGACGGATACATCTGGCTGTCTTTCGCGAAGCCGAAAACTCTCTATAAGCTCTTATACGGCTGCGTCAGTCTGAGCAGAGTACCCTGATTATTATGATAAACTCTGTCAGTACTCTCTTCACAGACATACATAGTCCTCCGGTCGACAGAGTCGAATACCGCATTCAGGTCAAAAAATATGGTAAGTACACCTATGTTCTAGGGTTTGTCAAAGGATTACGATATGACCAATACACTCTCATCCTGGCCTGTAGCTAAACTCATTTTCTCGGATTTTATTCTCCTAAGCACGGCTTATTCTATACATGATTATTGAATCTAGAATTCTGGATACTATGTCAGTCAAGCTTATCCTTCTATGTTTTGTCTTCCTTCTTATCAATGATTTACACCAGTCTAAAGGGAATGTTTTCAAGTATTGGTTTTATAGGGATTTAGTTTGATTGGATGGAGGCCATTGGGTCAGGCCCCAATGGCTTAATGGTCTACGAGCTCGCCAACCTTGTAACCAGAAGGTCCTGGGTTCAAACCCTGTCGGTGGGTGCGTACTGATGAAGAGTCCCAAAGTAGGCTGACAAAACAGCTGTCCAGTACTCCCAGCTGGTTTTGTAATGGTTTTCCAACGTGTGTCAGTTCATGATGAAACTCTCCAACCAGTCAAACAAAATCCCTACAAAACCAATACTTGAAAATTCCGTTTTCCACAAAGCATCTTGGTTATTACCTACATATTCATTCTTCTATCCTACACACATTTTATTTCTTGATTTTTTCAGTTTATATAGAAAATCAAAACAAGGATACACTTTCGTTTACTCATAATGCCATTGTAGTCACTTGTTTTAAACTAGATGCATGAATAATTCCCATTCAGACATTAATGAAAAGCAAAACACGTATTTAATGGAATTTTAGAATGCAGGTACATCCAGAGGACGAGTCCCAAATTAGGAGGAAATGCGCATCCTGGATTCCACTGCTAGTCACCATCCACCAATTAAAGCAAAACACGTAGTTCAGTGAAGAATCTCTTCTTTCGGCGAATTCATTCACACTTAGCTGTACAATCGCAATTATATATAATTATTTTGTTTTATGTGTGTGTGTGTGTGTGTATATTAGCTTTGTCAGACAAGAATAAAAATTAGTTAGGGTTGTTGTTTATGTCATCAAAATATTCCCAAAAAAATGTGATGAATAATCAAATTGTAACTAAGATGTGAAGATTAGTATGAGGGTAATGGTGACGAGTTGTTAAACAATAGCTGTTAATGTTAGTCAATGCATAAGAGAATTTAGTTAAGTGTATTGTAGTTGCGTAATAAGATGAATAATTTAATGAGTGAGTTTTGATTAGGATGGACATAGAAACGAAAGGAAATATGGAATTATGTAAGAGTTGTGAAGAAATACAAGAGTTATAATGGGTTAGAAAAGCAGGCACACAAATATCAAGTGAGTAGAAATCAACACGGTTGCTGTCATGATAGTAAAAGTGGTTTTTCCCAACTGGATGGCTTAGGCTTTTGAAATACAAAGGAGACAAAAATGGATTGCCTTTGGCAGGTTATTCTTCACTTTGTAGATCACTTTGAAGGAGGCGTTTGCTGAGATGGAATGATTAGTTTTGAAAAGGTGTTCGATTATCCCACTCCTAACACAGCCACTACTACCTCTATGCAGCCATATGAGGGATAGTGTTGTTGAACCCTTTTGAACAGGATACGCGTCGAACGACCAATATACCTTCCTGACTCGACAGCAGCTGGTGAACTGATATATGCACATAGAAGTGGTCAGATGCAAGATCTTGTCCTTAAGGCTTCTGTAGATCAATGGACGACTGGAGAGCACTGCTCTTAGCGTTGCTGCGAAGAATATTCTTCTCAAAGATGCTGGAATTCTTCTCTTGAGGATATCGCAAGCTAATTTTCCCTTGAAATCCAGTTTCATGTAAAGTTTCTTTTTTGGAGCAAGCGGTGTTTCATTGCTCTGGACTTTTGGTCTGATATTCTTGCCGATGAATCTTGATGGGTATCCATTTTGGATGAAGATCCAGTTCTGCTTCCAGGGTGTCAGGACTGTAGATGCGTCGGATCCCAGTGGTAAGGGATTTAATTAGACTTCGTTTTCGTTCAGCTGGCACCAAACTGTAGAAACTTGTTAGTTGACCGTTCCAAGTAGGTTTTCTATGGACTGACCTTCTTAAGATTCATTGTATCAGTAGTACCTATCATATTTAATTTAATTTTTTTGGGTTTCCGTTAAGCGGAAAAATTTGTAGCCTCTGTAGCCTCATCTTTTGTGTAAACTCGTCGTTACAGTATTCATTGATTTTGAAGGAATTATCAAGTTTCATTCACTTATCTAGGAAGCATTGTCTCAACTACAGGAGGAACAGATGAAGATGTCAAATCGAGAATCGTGAAGGCGAGAAACACATTCATTAATCTGAAACCAATCTGGAAATCCTCGTCACTCAGCATCAACAACAAAATTCGGATTTTCAACACAAACGTCAAGTCAGTTCTTCTATACGGATCAGAAACTTGGCGGGTCACCAAGAATATTTCCAACAGGTTACAGACCTTTATCAACAGCTGTCTTCGTTCTATACTGAAGATCAGATGGCCGGAAAGAATCACCAAACAAAACAAGAACCAGTCGCTCAACAAATATGCAGGAGAAAGTGGAGATGGATTGGACACTCGCTGAGGAGGCCGCTGGGTGACATCGCGCGTCAGGCTCTCGAGTGGAACCCAAAAGGGAAGCGGTAAGTGGGACGTCCAAGGGTGACATGGAGGAGATCGTGTGAAGAGGAGCTGAAACAGTATGGACTAACATGGATGCAAGTGAAAAGTACAGCAGAAGACAGAAACAAGTGGAGACGTGCAGTTGAAGCCCTATGTTCCACTAGGAACCCAAGGGAACAATAATAATAAAGTTTTGGTGATATTTAACTTTAAGCTCAGCAAAGCATTCTTCATGTGTAATAAGAGTTTAGAAAAAGCATTTGATTTCACTCTGCTACTTTACTCTCCTGGTCACTGAAACCTATCCACTTGATGAAAATGATGTACACATTAAGTTTAATGTTCTCTATTTTTAGCCTAGAAATTCCAGTTTCTATCAATCGTTTCATACTGTGAACTATTACTTGGGCTTGTCTTCAACTCGTAATTTCTCAGCTGGAGAATTGTTTCTGTAAATAGGCGAAAAAGTGGTAGCATTCCGTTGAAATGACACAGAAATCGGGGAGTGTGCGTAAAACGTGGGATGAGTGTAAAAAAAGTGGTTAACTTACTAGTTGAGAACATGAGGGAAGTGGGCTTTTATGTGTCACCTCTCACCTGCATTTTGCCCATATCTCATCCTATCAAAATTGACTATTTATCCCACGTTTCGCCTAATTTTTCTGTGTGTATTGTCCAACCAGGTTGTCATGCTGGCGAAGTTCAACAATAGCGTCCCAGAAGTGCGAACGCTCCAATGACCTTGAACGCGCATGCTAGTCGTTGGCTAACGGCACCTGTCGTTATCATAGCTGAAATATCAACGCTATTCACCAACTTAGGAGCAAATTTCACCCAGATCACGTTTTTAAGTACTGTTTGGACAGTGTGTTAATATCTCGTTAAGGTTAAGATAAGGGTTAAGGTAAGTATTGGGGTTAGGATCAGGGTCATAATTAGGATTGCGGTTAGGCTTACGGTTAGGATTAGGGTTGTAAAGGTTAAGGTTAGGGTTACGATTAGGGATAGATTTAGAGGTGATGTCATTTATTTTAATTTGTTTTATTATCCACATTTTCCTGGTAAGTAGTCGTCGATCCTCTTACTGGAAACCATAGTAATTCAACCGAGAGCTTTTGGGGAAGACTGCACAACAGGATAAGAGAGATAAACGATTCACAAAAACAGCTCACTTCAGTCACCTTGGTGAATACATGTACAGAAACTAGTCTAACTTGGCAACTGATACTTTTCATTATTGCTGGGACGTATTTTTAAGTCATGTCAGAGAAAGATACCCTGTTTAATGTGTTTTCATGCATTTTCTTGTAAATATACGTCAATTTTTGTGCAAAAATCTCTCATTTTTATGATTGGTCGGTTCAAGGACACTCGTGCGTTCGCATCCCCTAGGACGCTATTGTTGAACTTTGCCGTCATCCTGTCTATTTACTACACTTCTGGGGTTAAGTACATAGACTGGATTAGTGGTTGTTAACAGCGCCCATGAAAAACGCCATTGTAATTTTGTTACATTTATTTTTAAATAAATTCTACTCATGTATTCCATCTCTCATTAATCATAATCAATAAAGTGCATTGTTTTCACCTTCATATTTTAGGAAGAACTTGGTGGTGCTAAGACACATACAACAGTTTCAGGCGTAGCTCATCGAGCCTTCGACAATGATGTTGATGCTCTCTTATCATTGCGTAGATTTCTAACCTTTCTACCATCTTCCAATAAAGAAAAATCACCAATTCAAGAATGTCATGATCCAACTGATCGTTTAGTTCCATCTTTAAATACAGTTGTTCCTTTGGAGCCTACAAGTGCTTATGATATGACTGATGTTATACGGGTAAGCACTTACTACTGTTATTCTTACATTTGTTTTTAAAAGTTCAGTTTATTTTTAATGAGTCTCGATAGAAGTCAGACAAATTAATCGTACCAATTATTATTACCTTGGGTTCCGAGTGGTACTTGGGACTTCAGCAGCACGTCTTCATTGTATTATGTTCTCTGCAGTCCTTTTTTTGTCAGTTCCACGATTGCCCATAAACTTTCATCCATTCTTCCGGTGATCTTATCTATATCACCCTCGGATCCACATCCAACTCGTCGTTTTCCTTTCGGATTTCATTCTAGATCATGTCGCGTGACTGTCATTCAATGGTCGCCTCAGCCTGTATCCAGTCCATCTCCATTTTCTCTGGCATATTTGTTCGACAGTAAAGCTCTTTTCTTTGGTTTACTGTCAAAGTTCCTTGCTGCTAATCTTTTTTTGTTGTTGACCATCTGATCCTCAGTATCATCGAATGGAAGCATCTGTTGATGGAAGTCTGGAGAGCGCCTTGTTGGAAATGCTTTTTGTGATGTGCCAAGTCTCTAGTTGTCCTAACTATCCTACATATAAATTATAGGGATTCTGTATTCGAAATGTGTAGTGCCGAAGTTGCTAGTGGTTCTATATCGGAGTATTTGTTTATTAGAATTTGGAAAAGAATGTAAGTTGTGATAAAATTTCTATCGGTACTGTGATCCAACGTGCGTCGGTGGCACAGCCGTAGAATGCTCGCCGATCACGCATGTGGTCCACGGTTCGATCCTCGGCCGGTCGGTCGGTCGGTCGGTCGGTTTTCGACATAGAACTTTGCACATATGTGCGGCAGTTCAAGTCGCCACAATCTATGTAGCACGCAAAGCAAGAGAAGGAAGTAGAAGAAATGCATAATGGAAACAGTAAACAGAGGTGTGAGACAAAGGAATAGTAATAAAGAAGAACAAAACAGTTTCATTGGGAATCATAAGTCACAAGGAGTGGATGCATCTGCGCCACTGAGAACGATTTTGAGCCATGTCACCAATTGTTTCCAACCATTGGTTTTTACCGTCCCGGGGACCCCAACCAGGAAGTCTACATCTTCCTACGTGGCTTAGATTAACTGTTGTAGATTTCATTGATTGGTGCCATGTTTTCGTTTGACCGCCGCTAGCTCTTTTCCAGCCTGGCCCTATATCAGCTAACATTGCCCATTGTCGAGGAAGGCGATGACTAGGCATACGTAACACATGTCCTAACCATCTCAGTCGATGTAATTTCACAGTCTCGTCGACTGATTTCCCCGCCTTACCTAGCACTCGACGCCTAACCTCAATATTGCTCACCTTATCATACCACTTCACACGGGAGATAGAACGCAGACACCTATGATCGAAGACAGCTAATCTTTTCATGTCTTCTGCTCTCAATGGCCAGGTCTCACAGCCATAAAGGAGGACGGAGCGGACTGTTGAGCAGTACACACGCCCTTTGGTCGATAGTCGGATATCGCGTCTACGCCAGAGACGGCGAAAACTGGCGAATGCGAACCTAGCCCTCTGTATTCGTGCTGAAATTTCGTCTGAGATCAACCCGTTGGGGCTGATGGTACTTCCCAAGTAATTGAAGCGGTCAACGTGTTCTACCACTTCACTTCCTATTTCTAATCTAGGGGTCGATGAGGTCCAATCCTGCAGCATCATCTTACATTTTACAGGGGCGAATCGCATGCCAAACATACGGAGATTGTTGCTCAGGGTGTTCAGTAGACTCTGCATTTTGTCAGAGTCCTCGCCTAGAAGGACTATATCGTCCGCATATTCTAAGTCAACGAGATTATTCCCTGGTAGCAAGTCAATCCCTGAGTCGCTGAAGTGTGATAGGGTTAAATCCATTAGTACGTCTATGATGAAATTGAATAGGAATGGGGATAATGGGCATCCTTGACGGACGCCACTAGTCGTCACCACTTCAGATGACAACTCGCCATAAGCCCTCACCTGGCTGCATGAGTACGAGTAGAGTGCCTTAATCAGTGCAATGTATTTTCTTGGCATTCCCTTTACAGCCAAGCATCGCCAGAGAACCTCCCGGTCGACAGAATCGAAAGCCGCCTTTAGGTCAAGAAATATAATGATTGTCGGACGCCGGTAGGAATGCCTATGTTCTAGAATCTGTCGAAGGGTGAAGATATGATCAATACACCCTCTACCTGGCCTAAAACCTGCCTGGTTTTCTCGTGTTTGTGTCTCCCGAGCACCACTTAGTCTACGCAGTATTATTGAGCCTAGGATTTTAGATACTATATTAGTCAAGCTAATCCCTCTGTGATTATCACAAGAAGACTTGTCTCCCTTCTTGTATATCGGGATGATCAGTGACTTACACCAACCCGATGGGACTTCCTCTGATTCCCAGACGCTGCCTAGAACCTCCGTTAACGCAGACAGTAAACTGTCTCCTCCGTACTTAAATACCTCTGGAGTCAATAAATCAGGTCCCGCTGCTTTGCCTAGCTTCAGATTGGTGACAGCTTTAGTAACCTCAGTTAAGGACGGAGGACCTGTGTCTATATCCCATTCAGGGAGGTGTTGGATGTCCGGCAGGTTAAGTGTGGCTGTGGGCCAATTAAACTGCTCTTCATAGTGTTCTTTCCAGCGCTCCAGACGTCTATCCTGGGAGCTAATTATGGTGCCATTTTTCTCGGAGATTGTTTCGCTTATCATTTGCCTTTTACCACCTGTTTCCCTGATAAGCCTGAATAGTTGTCTGGTGTTGCCTATCGTCGATGCTTTTTCCATCTCTTTCGCCTTTGTCAACCACCACTGTTCACGGTCCTTGCGGAGACTTTTCGTAAGTTTCTTTTTGTGCAGCTTTCGCTCCTCATTGAATTCGGAGCTCGCCGGTATAAGTCTTCTAGCATCTATCAGTTCGGATGAGGCAGTCGAAATCCAATGGTTTTTACTCACCTTTGGATTTACCTTATTCACAGCTTTTACAGCTGTATCTATGGCTGACTGAATATTTTTCCAGGCTTCTTCAGGGTGAGCGCAGCTGTCAAACTCAGATATGTGTTTAGCTAGTTCTTCCTCAAATAGGGACTTAGTTCCCTGGTCGAGCTGGGGACGTGATGGGTTTACCGCCAGCTGTTTCCTACGTCCGTTCAGTCGTAAGCACATACGAGCGCGGACCAGTGCATGATCGGTATCTACACACGTGTTCCAGAAGGAGCGACAATCTCCTACCGACCCACGCCAACGATAGCTTATTGCTATGTGGTCTATTTGTGTCCAGCGTTGATTTGATGATGGGGGTCGCCAGGTCAAACAGTGTCTCTCCTTGTGTTTGAAGTTAGTGCTTACAAGATACAAATGATTATCTGAACAGAACTGTAGGAGACGGTCACCGTTGTCGGTTCGCTGGCACGGAATTCCGTATGTGCCACCGACATTCTTCTCAGATTGACACAATTTCCCTACTTGAGCATTAAAGTCACCAGCTATAACGACTATATCTGAGCGTCTAGCCTTTCGCAGCAAACTAGACAGCTTTTGGTAGAACTCATCCTTCGTTTCATCCGAACTGCAGTCAGTGGGGGCGTAGGCAGAGATTACGAAAAGGCATCGGCGGGTAGTGCAGTCCTTTCTCCTTTTCACTGATCCGTTCAGACGGACAGCACACATTCGGCTATCTACCGGGATCCAGTCAAGTAATGTCTTTTCTGCTCTAGTACTTAAAGCTATCCCAACACCAGCTAATCCTCGTGAGCTAGCCGTTGCATCTCCTGACACCCTCAAGGTGAATTTTGCAGATTCATCCTGTTGGCCAGGTGGGGTTAGGTGAATAACCACACTTGGGTCTTGTATGCGTGTTTCTGAAACACAACATACATCAATGGCTCGGGATGCCAGAGTCTTGGCTAGTGATGCTTGTTGTCCTATTTGGCAAAGTGTCCTAACATTAAATGCTCCTCGGCCGACGCACTCCTGCTTTGCCTCGCTAAGCCAGTAATAAGATTGGTAAAGAGGGAAGGTTGGGAAGATATGCAAATGAAAAGCAACAAGTTGGAAGAAAAAGCATCAAAGATAAGACTTCAGGTGAACATAGAGAAGACAGAGATGACGAAGATTCCTGGCCAACAGCAACAAAAACAGATAACAGTCAGCATAAATGGGAAAAATCTGAAAGGAACAACCTCCTTTACCTACCTACTTGGGAAGCATGGTTTCAAATACAGGCGGAACTGACGAGGATATCAAAGTGAGGATCGGTAAAGCAAGACAAGCTTTCACTTCTCTCAAGTCTGTGTGGAGATTAACAGCATGAAAAATAAGATCGGAATTTTCAACTCCAGTGTGAAGTTAGTGCTACTATACGGATCAGAGACATGGTGCGTCACGAAGGGCACTTCGAACAAACTACAGACCATCAACAGCTGTCTTTGCTCAATAGTACTCAAGATCAGATGCCCAGCCAGAAAAGATCAGCAACTGGGATCTCAAGGAACGAGCCAATCCAGAAGGAACCAGTTGTGCAACAAATATCTAGGAAGAAATGGAGGTAGACTGGCTTTACTCTGAGGAAGCAAACCACCAAGTGATTGACATTACACGCCAGGCCATCGCTCGAGTGGAACTCGGCCGAATGGGAAGCGGCGAGTTGGTCGTCAGTACGAGAGTGACATGGAAGAGTTCATGTGAAGAGGAGATGAAAGCATGTGGATAGAGGTGAAGCCAGATGAAAAGGTTGGCGGAGAACTGAACGCAATGGAGATGTACGGCTGAAGCCATTTGTTCCTCTAGGAAATAAAGGAGGTAATAATAATATAATATTTCTAAGGGAAAAATCACACACTAGTCCAACAGAGATAGATAAAACATATCGTTTTAGGAAGGCTGATATGCCTAACAGAATCCATGTATTCCAAGAGTAATCACAAGATGATTTCAGTCAGATGACCATTGAGAGCGAGGGAGTACTGGACAACCGTTTCATCCTTTTTTTGGAACTGTTCCTTAATACATGCCTGTGACCCCATCAATAATCGAACCCAGGACCTTCATCTTATGGGTCCAGCTCATTAACCATTCAGCTACTTAAACAGGACTCAGTGACCCGTCAATTTTAACTTCTACCAATTCGCGATACATATAGCGTGACAGTCAACCAATGTCATAAATAAGCATTTGTCCTGACACTCAATTTGATTGACCCTGCTGTTCATGTATTTCAAAACCAATAGCATCTATCTAGTAGATGTTCATTGTAATAAGAATGAATAAACTTCACTCAGCATTATTGGACAGTGTTTAAGAGAGTTTAATTTAGTTCATCCTGAAGTTGGGTAGCTGAAGACCAGTGATATGATCTCAAATAAATCCAAGTAACGCATGTACGCAATTACGCCTTATTCTCAAGTCAACTTAATATTGCAATGTGGGTGTTATTTTATTTTTTGTTTTATGGTGTTCTAACATTTTCAGTGACGCTATGCCGTTCTCTTGGAAATGGTTTGGAAGGAAGGAAAGGTACCTACCAATTGGAAAAAGACTACATTGTTAAGCTACCAAAGAAGGGTGACTTAGGCGTCTGCAAGGACTAGCGTGGAATCATGCTCTTGTCCACACCAAATAAAATAGGAAGTCTCATCATCCTGGAGAGAGTAAAAAAGCACTGAATACAGAACTCCGCCAATCGGAACAAGCTGGATTCAGGAAAGGTAAATCATGTGCGGATGAAATGGCAACCCCATGTATCGTCATCGAAGAAAGCATAGAATGGCAGTCAAACCTGTACCATAACCTCATTGACTTCGAAAAGGCCTTTGATAGCGTTGACCGAGAAGTAATTTGGAAACTGCTTCAACACTGTGTCGTGCAGTGACCAAGTGTTTATCAACCTCATTCAACAGTTGGCTATATGACAGTGCTACGTGTCAGGTGATCCACAACAAAATACTCAGCGAAGCCTTTGAAGTGAATGCTGGAGTCAGACAGCTGGCTACCTATTATCACCGACGATATTCATAATTGTGGTGGACTGGATTATGCGTCAGACTGTTGGGGGCGAGGAGTCAGGAATACGCTGGACGACCGATAAGAAGACTCTAGAAGATCTGGATTTCGCAAATGATTTATTTTTGATGTCATTCAAAATCGAAGACTTGCAGATAGGTGAAAACCAACAAACTGTCTGAAGAGGCATGTAGAGAAGACAGGACTCCAAGTGGGCATAGAGAAGACGGAGGTGATGAAGATAACCAACCAACCAACCAACAGCATCAACAATTAGCACCAGTCCTCATCTACGGGAGAGATTTGACAGAGGTTACTTCTTTCAATTATCTGGCCAAGAAACACGGTTTCAACCACAGCTGGCGGAACGGATGGAGATGTCAAATCCAGTCGGAATCGGAAAGGCGAGATACGCCTTCATCGATCTGAAACCAGTTCGGAAATCTTCCATACTCAGCCAGCATTCAAAAGAAGATTCGGATTTTCAACACAAATATGAGGTCAGTCATTTCTTCTATATGGATCAGAAACAATTCAGGCGTCACGAAAAGCATTTCCAACAAACTATGGCAGACTTTCATCAACAGCTGCCCACTTTGCTGTCTCCATACTGAAGATCAAATGGCCCACCAGAAAAAAGTAGCAACAAGAAACTGCGGGAACAAACCAACCAATAGCCTATTGCTCATCAATTATATAGGAGAAAGTAGAACAAAGTGGAGATGTATTGTTGAAGCCCTATGTCCCACTTGGAACCTAAAGGAGTAATAATTAATATACCGTTTTCATTTGCTCGTCTTACTTTGGTTTTTCTCTCTCTTGATGTACAAATCACTGCCCTGAAAGAATTACTAATCGAAAAATATTTTCCTCCTGCTTTCATTTTATTCCTTTTCAAATAGAATATTGTTGACGAAGGCGATTTCTTCGAAATTATGCCTACATATGCTAAAAACATTATAGTCTGCTTTGCACGAATGGGTGGTCGAACTGTTGGTATTGTTGCAAATCAACCAAAAGTCTCCGCTGGTTGCCTGGATATAAATGCTTCTGTTAAGGGGGCACGTTTTGTTCGATTCTGTGATGCATTTAACATTCCTTTGATAACTTTGGTCGATGTCCCGGGATTTCTTCCAGGTACTAGTCAAGAATACGGTGGTATAATTAGACATGGTGCAAAATTGATATTTGCTTATGCTGAAGCAACTGTGCCTAAACTAACTGTTGTCACTAGAAAGTCATATGGTGGCGCTTATTGTGTTATGAGCTCTAAGCATTTACGTGGAGATATAAATTATGCTTGGCCAACTGCTGAGGTAAGTGTTTTTTTTTTCACTATAAAGCAAACGATTAAATATGTAGAACTTTATTTAGGTAGGGAGAAAGGCACTTAGTGGTTTATTGATTTTATTTAAATTATTTTTAATGCATACGAAATAAGACAGCAGACATTTGACCGTTTAGTTCACAATCAACTGGTATTAGAGTACTTATCTGTGCATAATCTAAGGAGGCTTTCCATATGGACTAGTAAGTGAGAGACAGTCTAATGAAACTGACTAACTGACTGACTGGTTTCAGGGTAGAACTTTGCACCAGTTCCAGTCGCCACACCCACTCCATGTGTACCACACAAAGCAGGAGAAGAGTAAAGAAAGATTCAAAAGAGAGAGAGATAATAAACAGAAGTGTCAATGTCTGTCTGTCTGTTTTCGACATAGAACTTTGCACATATGTGCGGCAGTTCAAGTCGCCACACTCCATGTAGCACACAAAGGAAGAGAAGAAAGTAGAAGAAATGCATAATATAGACAGTAAACAGAGGTGAGAGACAAAGGAATAGTAATAACGAAGAACAATATAGTTTCATTGAAAATTATAAGTCACAAGAAGTGGATGCATCTGCGTTAGCCATTGAGAACGATTTTGAGCCATGTCACCAATTGTTTCCAACCATTGGTTTTTACCGTCCCGAGGACCCCAACCAGTCAGGAAGTCTACACCTTCCTACGTGGCTTAGACTAACTGTTGTAGATTTCATTGACTGGTGCCATGTTTTCGTTTGACCACCAATAGCTCTTTTCCAGCCTGACCCTATATCAGCTAACATTGCCCGTCGAGGAAGGCGATGACTAGGGTAAAGTGTCTTTGCCTTTTTGCCTCCCTGACACTTCAGTAGGGCAAAAAGAATAGTAATATGGAAAAACAATAGAGTTTCATGGGATATGATAATTCACAAAGAGTGAATGCATCTGCGCCAGCTATTGAGAACGACGATTTTGAGCCATTTCACCAACTGCCTCCAGCCTTCATTGGTTTTTACCATCCCGAGGACGCCAACCAGTCAGGAAGTCCACACCTCCCTACGTGGCTGGCGTAAACTAAATGTTATGGATTTCACTGACTGATGAAGCCATGTTTTGGTTTGACCACCACTAGCTTTCTCTTTTCCAACCTGATCCATCCTATTTCAGTCAGTTAACATTGCCCATTGTGATTTCGTAAAATTTTTGAATTGTTTTTGTGATACTGATATAAGAATAAAACTTGTGCACTGTTGTACAGTGTAATTCCATTATGGGTAAATTTTGTTTTGATGAAGTCTCACAGTGTTATACAGTAATGTTTACTTATGACGTTTCGAGCATAATTTATTGCTCATAATCATATCAAGGTAATCACATGACTTCCTAAATTCATTTATATAGTTCCGTTGTTATTCACTTGATTTGATTGGTAGTAGTATCTTCCATATTTTCAGTATGAGTGATGAATCATTCCTATTGCATGTGTTGGGTGTAGATTCGATGAACAAGGATTCAGTAATCAACATCTCTCTCCACCTACATAGATTACTTTTTAGAATTTTAACTCTCCCCCACCCTATTGTGTGGTTGTGTGTTAATACATGCAGTACAATTGCTAAGCTTTTTTCTAAATTACTTATCCTCTCTGGGCCAACCATTCTTACCTTAGCTAAATTCTTATGTCCTGGTAATCTGACTACCCCTGACCTACTAGTTTGACGTATGTAGTTGACGTCACTCACAGTCGTTGCAAGGTATTTTGTAAATTATATTATTTTGTCTAGTTGGCACAACCGACAGGGTCCTTTGACCTACAGAGCTTGTCCTATCTAAGTGAGTTTGTAGGTTTGACTGCCACCCTAATTCCTGCTTTATTTAGAATCCTACGTAGGGTCTCAGATGTCCCCTCTTTATATGGTATGACTGTGGATGACTTATATTCTCTCTTATTTATGTTATTATTACTAGTTTCACAATTATTCTTATTCTGCTTTTGGCCTTCTTCGATCTTCCTAATGAATTTTATAGGATAGTTATTTGATGCCAACGCTTCCTCTTATATCTGTTTAATGTCATCATTTAGGTCTTTTTTTGTGCTACTTAGTGCCATTACTCGGTTTGTTAAACACTTAACTAAGCCTGCCTTAACAGTTAAAGGATGAGATGAATTAAAGTCTAAATATCTATTAGCAGAATGCGTTGGTTTTCTATAAACACTAGTGTGTAGTGATAACTAAAGGCGGATCAACCTGTCTATCTGAGACATGCAGTGGCGTATCTTCACCGTTTCTGGAATGCAAGTATACTTACATTCTGCACTTCTCATATATCTACCCGATCAAAAGGTTTTGTGTGGCAATATCTGACTGTGAAAGGAATGCTGAGAAAGTATGCAATACCAACCAATGTATGCCTTTCGTATTTATTTAGTAATGAGTTGATGGAATAGTTGTTATCCGAAGTCTTTCACAATTAGATGCATTCACTCTGTGTGATTTATCATATTCCATAAAACGCTATTGTGTTTCCATATTACTATTCTTTTTGCGTCGCTGACACTTCTGTTTATTATCTTTCTCTCTCTCTTTTGAATCTTTCTTCACTTTCTTCTCTTGCTTTGTGTGGTACATGGAAGGGGTGTGGCAACTCGAACTGTTGCACATCTGTGCAAAGTTCTGCATTGAAGCCAGTCGGTCCATCAATATATTTATTATACATATATTCTAGTACGATAAAACGATCTGAAGTTCACATAGATCATCTTGTCCCTTAGTTTGTCTGATATTCCTCCGCCTGGAATCAACCTATCAAATCCTACTAATTTACATCTTAATACAGTTTGGTTCACTTGATAAATTTGAACAACAATAAATAAGCAGTGAGTGGGAAATAATTTAAACATACTTTAGGTGACGAGACAGTTCATTTTGCAAGAGAGTAGAGTAACACTGCATCAAAATACAGAAGGGGTACAAACAGTGCAAAAAGTTAGATTAATCAATTATAACCGAAATAGAGACATTCAAATTTTAGTTTACAAGGATTTGATTGTTTTCATGATTCCGTCATCAACTGACATCGGTTAGAGGACCATTGTAAAAACCAGCTGGGAGTACTGGACGACTGTTTCGTCCTAGTTTGAGACTCTTCATCAATACGCATCCATCATCAGGGTTCGTAACCAGGACATTCTGGTTACAAGGTGAGCTTGTAGACCAATAAGTCACTGTGGCCCGATCCAGTAGTCAGCCCATGAATTCTAACTTCTGCCGATTCATGATCTGGCGGGATAATTCATATATATATATATATATTCCTGGTCAAGACATGTGTTACGCATACCGCCTAGCCATCACCTTCCTCCACAACGGGTAGTGTTAGCTGACTGACATAGGGTGCATCAGGTTGGAAAAGAGAAAGCTAGTGGCGGTCAAACCGAAACATGGCTTCATCAGTCAGTGAAATCCATAACATTTAGTTTACGCCAGCCACGTAAGGAAGTGTGGACTTCCTGGCTGGTTAGCGTCGTCGGGATGGTAAAAAGCAACGAAGGCTGGAGACAGTTGGTGATATGGCTCAAAATCGTCGTTCTCAATGGCTGGCGCGGGTGCATTCACTCTTTGTCACCTATCATATCCCATAAAACTATTGTTTTTCCATATTACTATTCTTTTTGCCACACTGACATTTCTGTTTATTATCTCTCTCTCTCTCTTTAGTATATCTGTTTACTCTCTTCTCTTGCTTTGTGTGTTACATGGAGTGGGTGTGGCAACTTGAACAGCTGCACATCTGTGCAATGTTCTATGTTCGAACCAGTTAGTCAGAACTGACTACTCACCTATTTGTATTTATTATTTCGCATTCACTGCTTATGCATAGTTAGTTATTCAGGTTGCATGCAGTTGACGACAAGCCTATTAAATGAATTTGAATTCAGATTGTCCTGTAAAAGTTATTCTTATTGCATTATTGTAATTTGCCTCATATTAATTTAGAGACAACTTTTGTAACTTACAAAGGATGATTGTCTATACTGTCATTAGGATTTCGGTTGGATGGCAGGAAAGCTGTACGCTAATCTAAACTGTTCTTCTTCTATCGAGAATAAAGTGTATTCAAGAGGGAAATTTTTTATTATCTTCCGTAATCCTATAATCAACAGAACATATAAAGAGAAAATATTCTTCATATGAACAGTGATCAAGATTTGATCGCATAGTTCCAAAATAATTAGGCGCCGAATGAGAAGTAGACATATGTAAAAATTATATTTGTAAAATCTCAGCGAAATTGAAATGAGTAATTCCAATGTTTCCTGCGTTCGGCAAGCTGATCCAAACTTCTTCAGGGAAATTGATCGAAATTAAAATAACAAAGGTTTATATATAAAAAGGACACCTCTTGTTTTTAAAAAAACTTTCTCCAATCATATGAGTCATGAAAGAGGCATTAAAAAATGTGATAATAAACAAAATAGCATGAATCAAAAAAGGTTCAAAAGCAAAACAAAAATAATGGTGAAACTAATAATGGCAACAGAAATAAGAGAGAATATAAGGCATCTACAGTTATACGATATAAGGAGGGGACATCTGAGGCCGTACGTAGGATTCTCAAGAAAGCAGGAATTATAGTGGCATTCATACCTACAAACTCACTCAGGTAGGACAAGCTCTGTAGGCTAAAAGACCCGGTGGATCCAATTGAACAAAATAATATGACTCACAAAATACCGTGCAATGACTCTGAGTGAGGTCAACTACATAGGTCAAACTTGTAGGTCGGGGGTAGTCAGAGTGTCGTAACATAAGAATTTAGCTAAGGTAAGAATGGTTGACCCCGAGAAAATAAGTAATTTTTTAAAACGCTCACCAACTGCACTACATACATTAACACACAACTACACAATAGGGTTGGACAGAGTCGAAATTCTAGGAAGTAATATCGGTAGGTGGAGATAGAGAAAAAGTGATTACTGAATCCTGGTTCATTGAGTCTACACCCAACACATGCAACAGAAATAACTCAACATAAATACCAGAGATATATGTAAATGGAAGACATTATTACCACCAGTCAGTCAAATCAGAGGAGGATAATAAATAATCTTAAAATTCTATTTGAATTCAAGCACATCACCACATTCTAACAAGTTACTTATTGTGACTATAAAAACACTCGTCTTATTTCCCATCTGATTGTATTTGATCAATAACACTCATATTATTATTTCTGAATGTACATCATCCCATATTGATTTTTATTCAAATGTCTAATCATCAATTTCACTCATGTATATAAATGAAGCAAGAAAGTTGTGTGAGTAGTGTCTTGATATGATTATGAGCGGTAATAATTTGTGCTCGAGACGTGGTCGTCAGTTAATATTACTGTGTACAACACTGTGTGATTTATCAAAATAAAATCTTATCCATAATGGAGTTATACTCTACAGCCACAGTGACCAAGTTTTATAATTATATCAAAAATAGCATGAACTGTGATCAAAATTTCACCTCAAACTTACAAATATTAGACTACTTTTGTTAGACACCATAAACAGTGCATCAGCATTTTAGTGATTACGTTCAACTAAATTTCATGATCGTAAATAGCTGAATATGATATATATATATATATATATATGTATATATACCGTATGCAATGGTGTCTATGTATGCGGCAACAATTGTAAATCATTTGTTAGCCTGTCCATAAGAACATATAGACAATTGGGTATTTAGATCAAGTATGATTGATTAGTGATACATATCGATTTTTAGTTATTAATCAGGACTTTCCATGCATCGGCTAACATCACACCTTCACGTCCGTTCAAACTTTTGGGATTCACCTATATATGTAGGTCTTCTGCAGTCAGTCTTTCTTTATACGAACCAAAACCTTTCTGTAGAACCCTGGTCCTATTAAAGTCAGTCCTGTGTCCCGTTTCTATCGAGTGCAGTGCAATATCACCGATCTGTTTTCTAGCTTCTTCAAATCTACACAGGTCTTTGGAACCACCTTTAGACATTGTTTATACTCCTTCACTCTTATATTTACCTATCTGGAAGTTTCTCCTACATATACAGACAGCATCACAATCCCCACAATTGATCTGGTACACACAATTCTGTTGGTTGTGTTCTTCTATTTTATCCTTAAGCTTCACCAGTGATAAGGAGCATAAATGTGTCCTTTGCACGAAAATACACCCCTATGTTGTCATGACTGTTAAGGATTCGCTTTATCTCATCCAATGTCTCTTTGCGATAAGGAATCCCCACTGTACTAACCCAATAAATCTTCGTTATAATTTTAAATTACTCAACTTAGCTAAAAGTTATTATTGGTATTTTTATTATTATAATTATTATTCATACTATTATGCATATTTCATTGTTTGCAAATAAAACTTCTATAAAATTGTGAATCTTTCAAATTAAAAAAACAAACACTAAAAGGTTGCAGTCATGGGTGCAAAAGGAGCAGTGCAGATTATTTTCAAGGGGAAAGACAATCAAGCTCAGGCTGAAGAAGACTACATAAAAGCATTCGCCAATCCCTTTCCAGCAGCTAGTCGTGGTTATGTCGACGATATTATTGATCCGCATTTAACACGTGCTCGTCTATGTCATGATCTTGAATTGTTGGCAGATAAGAAATTAGAAAATCCATGGAAAAAGCATTCGAATATGCCACTTTAATGAGTGAAGTTCACTGTGAAGGGGGGATTCGCCTACCTATTGGTTGGTTGATGATTGGATATTTATATTTCTATTCTAATGCTTATCTTTTAATCCTTTCTACATATAATTTATATATGGACGTCACAGTGTAATATGTAATCAAGCAATTTGTAATTTATTGATACAATTGTTTTATACAATATGTGTTTTTATTTTTATCATTATTATTATTTTCTATAGTTTGATTTGTAAGGATTAGTTATGTTTTACGAGTTGATCACGGACTGATATCAGTTAGAGAACCATTGAAAACCAGGGAGTACTGGACAGCTGCTGTTTCATCCTAGTTTGGGAATCATCGGCAGTACGCACCCACTGGGATTCGAACCCAGGACCTTCCGGTTACAAGGCAAGCTCGTATACCATTCAGCCACTGGGACCCGATTCAATGGCTCATGAATTCTAACTCCTACCAATTCGTGATTTAGCGTGACCCCAACCATTGTCGTTGGTGGGACATCCATCCACACACGTGACATCTAATTGAGCCAATGCGACAGCTTGTCTTTCGCGTTCTGGTTGAACAGTTTCTTGCAGGAAAATGTCAGTCGTAGGCTTGCGGCGAAGTATGTTTTCCTTAGCGACTTGGAGAGACGTTTTCGAAGGATTTCTGCTTCGATATCACCTTTGAATTCTAGATTAAGCAGGAGTATATCTCCGAAAAACCCTGATGGAAAACGGTTTCCCGCCCAGGTTCATAGACAAGAATCTCAAACCTAAGAAGACTTCTGAACAAGTCCAATCCGCCCCAAAGAAAATACTCCTGCTTAATCTAGAATTCAAAGGTGATATCGAAGCAGAAATCCTTCGAAAACGTCTCTCCAAGTCGCTAAGGAAAACATACTTCGCCGCAAGCCTACGACTGACATTTTCCTGCAAGAAACTGTTCAACCAGAACGCGAAAGACAAGCTGTCGCATTGGGCCACCTCAACATGCATATACCAGTTCACTTGCTCTTGTGGAGCTGAGTACATCGGCCGTACCATGCGCCAACTTGGAAAACGCGCTCGTGAACACTACCCAGCCTGGCTGGTAAAAGGAGAGCAAAAACGTGTATACAGTTCAGTGACAGAACATCTGGTCAACTCAGGACATTCAGCGCCTTTCGAAAAGTCCTTCAAAGTAATATACAAGATTCAATCAAACCTATCAAAGGGAGTGAAGTCAAGATATTTGGGTATAGCTGAAGCATTAGCTATCCAAAAACTCAAACCCACCCTTTGTATCCAAAAGAAATACATCCAACCCCTGTCCCTGCCATGGCCATCGTAAACAGGTAAATTTTTAATAATGACCATCCCATCGCCTTTCTTATCTAAACTTCCTGTTTATTCATGTTATTTTAAGTTTTCTTAATCCCTGTCTACCCTACCATATTTTCATATCCACACTTCCTGTTTATTTTGTCATTTTACTGTTTCTACATATTTAATCCCTGATTGCATAAACAATTATTCATCACACTAGTTTCTTATCCAAACATCCTGTATATTTTGTTATTTTTACATTTCTAACCCCAATTGCACAATGTCAATTTTCTTAGTTATTATGCTACTTTGTTTGAGTTTTACCCATCCCCCTGTTTATTATGGCATTCTAATTCCTAATTGTAATTTTTATTAATTTAACCCCTAACCAGAAATTGTTCTGGAACTTTCCCATCCATCTGATATAAATACACGAATGTACAGCCTAGATGATGACTTCGTCGAAAAGAAAATTTTCTTCGCTGCAACTGTCTTTTTATTCCCTATGATCAAATGTGTATATATTTACATATAAAAATTTTAACCTATGACGGGGATTTTATGGATCAAATAATAATAGTAATGTGGTAAATGTTTTGAACGTCATTAATAACAATGATTATAATGATAACAAAATAATATTGATAATAAGGTTTATGCCGGTTGACGATAAGAATAACAAAGGTAGTAATATGTGTGTATATGTAGACAATTCAATACATAAATAAACTAGGTTAAATCCTAAAAGTTACGTAACACTAAAGGTGAAGTGGACAGTTAATCAGAGTTTAAATAAATATCACAAATGTACCAAGGAAATGGAAAATAAGAATGTGTGGGAGGGCTTTGATTAGAATTCACCTAGGTGAAGCAAGGGAGAGACAAAGGTAGAACAAACTTCCTTTATTGTATGCAAAGACTAGGATTGTTCTCTCGAATTCCCATAGGTTCAGCTATGTGTAAATGGCAGATTCGGATTCCGTTCGAAAGGCTGGATGGAATGCGATAGATAACTTTGAAGGCACTACTTCTGTCTACTTGGTGACCGCAATCATCAATCAAATGAGTCAAATAGAACTTCTTATAGATTTTATTTGACCTTTTCCGAACCATGAAGGAAGATGCTTAGTGATGATATGTTTGTTGAGCTGTCTAGTGGTTCGCCCTATATAGCTGTCTCCACAGGAGCAACTAAATTTGTAGATACACATAGAAGTGGCACAGCTGGTTAGCCTGTCTTTCCCTTGAGCAATCATAATTAGTTGGCAGGTGGAAAATGACAAACAAAAGGTGGCGGCAGTATCAGTTCTTTTTATTACTCACGATATTCTTAGATATAGGACTTCACTAGCCACGTCCCCATTAAATTGCAATTTTAGGAACAGTTGTTTCTTTTTAACTGTTGTCAGTTTCTCTTTATTATACTTGGTATTTATATGTCTCCTTACAAATCTACTAGGATGACCCGTTTGGGCTAGCGTATTTTGGATGTATCCTAATTTATTTTCTAGGGAGTCATCTGTACAGATCCTTCTTGCTCTATTCGTCAGGCACCTGACGAAATTGACTTTGTATTGGATTGGTACAAAACTGAGGAAATGTGTATATTGTCCTACAGATGTAGGTTTTCTATAGACATCTCTCTTGAGTGAACCATCCTCTCCTCTGCTCAACTGGACGTCACGGAAATATAGTCTACCATCATGTTCTTATTTACAAGTGAAGATGAGCGATGAATGTGCATCATTAAATTTTATTAACATTTCATTCTTGTCAGCTTTCACATCAAGAATAATAAACGTATCATCAACATGGCGAAAATAAGAATCCATTTTATCTATTACTGAAGAGCCAGATGGTGAAGTTATTGAGGAAAATATTCTTTGCTCGAACTTCCTTTTGTCTTCTAGATGTTCCGAAATGGAACATAGGACTTCAAGCTTGAACTTTGAAGTTTCAGTAGTAGTGGTGTTTTTTTTGCGGAGTGGGGTTGCTGGCTTCAAGCCCAACCTTCCATCTTCCTGTCAGCCTTACAACCAGCTAGGGGAAATAAAGGTGTGCACTGGTCTGGAATCGAACTCCGGTTCACATGTTTTCTAAGTAATATTGAGACTGGATGGAGGATTTCATCATGAGCTGATAGCAGTTAGAGAACCACTGGAAAACTAGCTGGGAGAACTGGACAGCTGTTTCATCAGCCTAGTTCGGGACTCTTCAGCAGTACGCACCCACCGACAGGGTTCCAACTCAGGACCTCCTGGTTACAACGTTAGCGAGCTCGTAGTCCATTAAGCCACTGGGATCCGATCCAATGGCCAGCCCATGAGTTCTAACTTCTGCCAGTTTATGACATAGCGCGACCACTTCGCAATGTCTCCTTCAATGAGTTACTGCCTCACCTTCAAAGTGCTGTACCCTACTAGTCACTACTTCTCACTAGAACCCCAGGTAACTGTCTGAATAGGGCTAGTCGCTGGTGAGCATCAATCGAACAAAATCCCTATAAAACCAATGCTTGATAATATTGAGATGTTAAGATCAATGGAAGTACAATCCGAAAACATGTGTAAATGATAATCAGTATAGAAAATGTAATGCTTAATTGAATATCAGGTAAAAATCAAGAAGAAAATTTATGCGACAGTTAAAGATTGTTAAAAGAATAGTGGCTAAAGTATGGAAAGCGTTTAAACACATCATTTAGCTTTCTTCAGCTAGATTTTGACAGTTTCAGCAATATGTAAAAGTCGAACTCGTAAGTTGAAATTGCGACCAGTCAGAATACGGTAGATAACTTTAAATGCCTTGTTAACATCGATTTTCTCTTCGGTATCTAAAAGATGAGCTAAAATAGAGCTGCAAATAGACCTTGTCTGTCCTTTGCTTAACTAAGCAGGATGATGTTCAGAAATCCGACGATAAACGTGCCTAACTGTAGCCCCCTTCCCCATGTAACTGGCTTCTCAGGAGCAGTCAAACTGATAGATAGACATAGAGGAGGTGAAATGAGGTAGTTTATGCTTAACTCCTGAACATAAAGTGGGCGTTCTTGTGAAGAGACACTGAACTTCTGCGGCACTGAGTGCTACTTCCACAGAACATTAAGAATATGCACATTAGATTATAGGAATTATTAAAAAAGCGGTTGTAGCGAAGACCATTTTCTTCTCGACGAAGTCATCAACTAGGCTATACATTTGTGTATTTATAGTAAATGTGTGAAAAACTCCCAGAATTATTTCCGGTCAAAGGTTAAATTAATAAAATTACAAAGTGTAATAATCACGAAGGTAGGGTAGAAAAGATATTATGAGATCATAATTACTGAAAACTTGACTGTTTATACAATTATGGATTAAGGATGTAGTAATAACAAAATAGGTAGGAAGTTCGGATATATAAAAAACAAATCTAGTATAACAGATGGGAATTTAAAACTTCAAAATAACAGAAATGAACAGGAAGGTTGGATAAGAAGGGTAACGGGATAATCGTTATTGGTGGGACTGACTTTTCATGATGGCCACGGTAGGAACAACGGTTGGACATGTTTCTTTTGAACACATAGCGTGGGCTTGAGCTTTCGGATCGCCACTGCCTCCGCCATTCCTAGATGCCTTGATTTCACTCCCTTTATATGTTTGGTCGGATCTTGTATATGACACTAGAGGATTTTTCAAATGGAGCTGAATGTCCTGATACCGAACTGT